TTGTCGCAAATAAAACTACAGCAGAATAACTCTTTTTTCTTGACAAAAATGTCTTTATTTTCTGTACAATTTTAGACTGTTAGTTGCTCAAATTCTAGTATAAAAGGGTACTTCTGCCAGTAGAAAAAATAAATTTATGCAGTTCCCTTTCAGCCTTATAAACTTTGTCTTTTTTGCTCTTTATCATATTTGGTTTGTCAAATAAACACAAAATAAAAATACAACAAGAAGTTGGTATCAGAGCTTTATTCTTAAGAGAGTTTAAAAATTTTTCCTAAACACCAACTCTTACCTCACTTCAAATAGAAAATAGATTTAGAAGCTTCATTCACTCTAATTACACCTCCATTGTTTGATGGAACAAATTATCAAATGTAGGCTATTAAAATGGAAGCTTATCTTGAAGCTCATAATCTTTAGTAAGAATATGAAGTTCTAGAGTTACTAGACAATCCAACTCTTGGGAAAATCAAAATTTAAAAAGAAAGGAGGCTCAGAAAATAAAAAATCAGATCAATTTTATTTATAACTGTTTCTTATGTTATTTTCAACAGAATAATAACAATGAAAACTACAAAAAATATATGAGATTTTTTAAAGAAAAACTATGAAGGGAGTGAAAGGATCAAAGGAATGCAGGTACTTAATTTGGTTGGAGAATTCAAAATGCAAAGAATGAAAGAGTTAGAAACTATCAGAGATTATGTAGACAAACTTCTCTGTATCGCCAATAAAGTAAGACTTTTTTACATTGATTTTTCTGATTCTAGAATTATTCAGAAAATTTTTGTTATAATTCCTTAGAAATTTGACGCTACAATTATCTATCTGGAAAACTCAAAATATTTGTCAAAGATTACTTTGGTGTAATTGTTAAATGCTCTATAGAGTCAAGAAAAAAGAATGCAAATGAGGCAAAAAGGTTCGGTGGAAGGAGCTTTCCAAACTAAAATACAAATCTAGAAAGGTGACAAAGGCAAGAAGAAGAACAAGTAATAAAGGTGATGGCAGCAGCAACAACAAGAAAACTGGAGATTTTCCTCCTTGTCAACACTATAAGAAGATAAATCACTTAAGAAAAAATTGCTGGTGGAGACCTTATGTGAAATGTAAGAAGTGCAATCAATTGGAACATGTGGAGAAGATGTACAAGAAAGGGGCTCACCAACAAGAAGGAGAAGCACAATTTGTTGATCAACAATAAGAGAAGCAATTGTTTGTTACTACTTGCTTTGCTAAAACATGCTAGTGATTGCTGCCTTATTGATAGTGGTTATATAAACTACATGATTAATGTTATAAGCTTGTTCAAGTAATTTGAAAAATCAAGCATCTCCAAAATCAGAATTGGCAATGAAGAATATATTCCAGTTGAAGGCAAGGGCATGGTTGTCATTGAAGAAAATTCATATACAAAATTAATTTTAGATATTCTATTTGTATATAAAATTGATCAAAATCTGCTGAGTGTTGGACAGCTTCTTAAATGAGGATACCCCTTAATTTTTAAAGACAAATGTTGGTCAATTTTTTATCATACTGGTGTGGAATTGTCCACTATAAATATGAAAGAAAAAAGTTTCTCATTAGACTGGACAGAAGAGGGTCAGCTGCATTTCTTAGCACAATAAATGAAGAAAAATTATGACATAAAAGGTTTGAGCATTTTCACCGAGTAGCTTTAGTGCATATGCAGAAAAAGGAAATGGTGCAGGGAATGTCAAAGCTGAAAAAAAAAAAAATCTAAATTTGTGCTTCTTGTTAATATGGCAAGCAAAACAAGCTTCTTTTTCCCTAAAATGGAGCTTGAAGAGCAAAGCAATAGCTCAAACTTATTGATACTAACATTGTTGGGCCAATCAAAATAGAATCCTTAAATGGAACCAAGTATTATATTGCTTTCATTGATGATTTTATAAGAATGAGTTAAGTTTATTTTTTAAATTTTAAATTTAAAATTGTAAATATCTTTTGGAAGTTCAAAAACTGGATTGAGAATCAGACTGGTCAAAAAATTCAGGTGCTAAGATTAGATAATGGCTCTGAATATAGCTCTAACAAGTTTGCTGAGTTTTATGAAGATGCAGGGATTGAACATCAGTATACTACACCTCACACTCCATAACAAAACGCTGTGAGTGAAAGCAAAAATCGAACAATCATGGAGATGTCAAGCTACCTATTATTTGAGAAAGATTTACCCAAGAAATTTTGGGCAAAAACTGTGAATACTGCAGTTTTCTGTTAAATATGCTGCCAACAAGAGCACTCCATAACAAGACTATGAAGCTTAGCATGGTTATAAACCCTCACTGCACAATTTAAAAATTTTTGGATGCTTATCTTTCACTTATGTTCCTGAGGTAAAAAGAGACAAACTTGATAGGAAGGCTGAGATTGGTATTTTTGTAGGTTACAACAATGTTACAAAAGTCTATAAAGTTGATTAGTCCCAAACAGGAAAGCTAATAATCAGTAGAGACATCAAATTTTTTGAAAGTAAAAAGTAGAATTTTAAAGATATAAAAAGAAGTCAGAGTGACCTGATTGTACAAAATTCTAATAATCTTGTTGATGAAGCATCAAAATAGAGGAATAAGATCATTTACTGAGGTTTACCAAAGATAAAATGTAATCATTTTAGAACTAGTAGAATTTGAAGAAGCAAAAAAAAAATCAAAGATGGATGGATGCAATGGAGGAGCTCATGATGATCGAGAAAAATCAAATATAGAAGCTAGTTGATAGACCAAGCCACAAAAAATCCATTAGTGTAAAATGGGTACGAAACTTAATGTAAATAATACTATTAACAAACATAAAGCCATATTGGTGATCGAAGGTTATGCTCAAGTGTTTGATGTAGATTTTTCAGAAACCTTTGCACCAGTAGCAAGACTTGACACCATCAGAATGTTACTTGTCATTGTAGCACAAATGATTAGAAAATACTTCAACTTGATGTGAAATTAGCATTTCTAAATGGCTACTTACAGGAGGAGATTTTCGTAGAACAACCAAAAGAATTTATTATCAAAGGAGAAGAAGACAAGGTGTATTTATTGAAAAATGCCTTGTATAGCATAAAACAAGCTCTAAGAGCTTGGTATAGCCAGATTGATGAGCATTTACTCAGTCTTGACTTCAAAAAAAATCTAAATGAATCAACTTTATATATAAAAAACACTAATACTGATTTGATTGTAGTCTCAGTGTATGTTGATCATTTATTTATAACAAGAAATAATGCAGCAATGGTAAACTAATTCAAAGAAGAAATTATAGAAGTATTTGAAATGACAAACCTTGGAAAATTTTCCTACTTTCTTGGTATTGAAGTGCAGCAAAATCAGCATGGGATCTTCATTAGTCAACAAAAATATACTAGGGAGATTCTAAAGAAAATCAATATGGAAGAGTGCAAACAAATGGATACACCAATTAACCAAAAGGATAAGTTTTGTATTGAAGACGGAGTTGAAAAAGTAGATGAAGGAGTCTATAGAAGTCTCATTAGCTATTTGATGTATCTCACAGCAACAAGACCAGATATCATGCATTCTATGAGCCTACTGTCCAAATTTATGTATTGTACAAGTAAAATTCACCTTAAGACTGGCAAAAAAGTGATAAGATATATCAAATGCACAATTAGTTATGGTATTTAATTAACTCATTTTTAAAATTCTAAGCTACAAGGTTGTGTGAATAGTGATTAGGGCAGCTGTTTTGACGACATGAATAATACTTCAAGCTGCTGCTTTAATTTTGGTTCATGAATTTTCTCTTGACGTTCAAAAAAATAAGAGATTGTTGCACAATCAACTGCAGAAACTGAGTACGTATCAGCAACTGCAGCTACAAATCAAATTTTATGGCTTAGAAGGATTTTAGTAGACCTACACATGGAGCAAAAGAAAGCTATTGAGATTTATATTGACAATCAAGCTGCAATAGTCATATCAAACAATCCAATTTTTCATGGAAGAACCAAGCATTTCAAGATCAAATATTATTTTCTAAGGAAAATTCAGAAAAATGAAGAAGTACATCTTATCTACTGCAAAACAAAAGATCAACTTGCTAATATACTAAGCAAGCCCTTGTCTAAAATGAAGTTTGAAATCTTGATAAGCTAAATCGGTGTCTGTAGTAAAAGATACAAGGAGGAGTGATAAAAGTTGCCTCATTTACTACACAAGACTTGGTCTTTGGAGTTGTATACTTCAAATCAAAATCAGTTCCACAAAATCAGGATTTTATTGTAAATAAAATTGAGTAGAATAGCTCTTTTTTCTTGATAAACATGTCTTTAGTTTTTGCATATTTTTAAACTGTTAATTACACAAATTCTTGTAAAAAAAAGTGCTTATATCAATGGAAAAAATAGATTTCTATAGTTCCTTTTCAACCTTATAAACTTTATCTTATTTCCTCTTTATCATATTTGGTTTGCCAAACAAACGCAAAATAAAAATACAACAACAAACCTTCTATGTAGTGGCAATTTAATTCGTATAAAGCTGCCACAATTTTTTAAAACTATGATTTTTAAATTTGATTTGAGTAAATTAGAAAATTAGATTATAGTATTAAACATATACAAGATGTGCACCTGCTTCATGAACATTAAGAACATGACAACAAATGTTTTCTGTAAAATTTTAAACTTCTAACAATATAAAAATCGAGCACACCATTTTTAGCAATAACTTCTTGAAACTCACAAATTTTTAAAAATCACTTAGGAAAAATATGAAAAATAACTAGAAAATCAAATATAATTTCTGAAAAACATGAAATATTTCAACTCCAAATTCATTCTATAATATTAGGGTTGAATCTCATTGTCCTTAACCTAAGAGTAGAATATATTCCCACATCTTAATAAAAAAAAGATCAAATATGTATGATCAAACACTTAATTTTATATTGTGATATATCTCAGTGTAGAATGAATGAGAACGTGATCTTAATATTATTGAGAAGCTTGTTCAAAAAATTATCAAACTTATTCAAGAATTGTCTTAAGTGGCAGATAGAATGTATTTTTTGGGACCAAAAAACTGGCCAAAAGTTGACATAAAAACCGGCAACTTATAGATTTAAGGTCTTTTTTTTTCTCACAACACCCCCTGTTGACCATAATTTTTGTATAAATCCTAAGCTCCTAGGAGAGTATTGTGATGGTATATAATTTACTGTATAAATCTACTTGAACAATAAAATTATTGTAAGAAATTAAAAAAATAAAAATTATACTCAAAACTAATTAAATTATTAGTATTTTTTTATCTATACAAGAAAATAGTAAATACTTGTCTCAATATTATGTTTCTATCCGTGAATGTCTTTTTTTCCCGTCAAAGAATTCTTTAAAACTTACATAGGAAAGAGGGTAGACTTTGGGAAAGTATATTAGAGTGTATACTTGTACTAATTTATCAGTAGATTAGTGTATGAAAGAGTATAATAACCTAAGCATCATAATTAATTACTTAATTAATTCATTTTTCTATTATTATTGTTGTCACTGTTATTATTATTATTATTATCATCATTTACTTCTTTTCTTTAATTATTTTTTTCGGTTGTTAGAAAAAACTATCTGTTAAAGTATTTTGTAATTAGAGCCTTCTGGATTTTGTTGTGTAAGGAGAATGGAAACGGCCACGAGGCCCAAACGCCTTGAAGAATACACATGTGAAGGAGGATTAAAACTTGGTGATCTATGTAATAGTATTTGTCTGTATATTCATGATTGTGGATGGGGGTTTGGATATATACTGTTAAAACAACAATAAACTAATGATTTATTCAGATTTCCACATATCACCTCCAATGATTCAAACTTATCTATCCCTTCACGCCATCTCCACTCCGCAATTGTCATTCCTCACTTGCGTCTCAAATTCATTAATTAATTTCCTCTCAAAGTTTATTTATATATATACAGCACGTACTATATGCAATTACTATGTAAAACAATATCAATATATAAGGTATTCCCAGTTGGTACGTCTAGTAGCTGTATAAGTTATAACTTGCTTGCCAATCCCATATTAATTTTTAAAAGTAGAAAATCAGTAATTAACAAATATGGGAGTGTGGGATGTGGTGATCCTCTGGTGCGTCCTGCAGGCTAATATTCAGGCTCTGTGCTCCGAACCTAATTATGACTATGGAGATGCATTGGCCAAATCTATCTTGTTCTTTGAGGGACAGCGGTCTGGCAAGTTACCCTCCAACCAACGAGTCAAATGGAGGGGGGACTCTGCACTTTCTGATGGCAAACCTGATAATGTAACACATAAAACATACAGAACTATTTGTTCTAATTCATGAATTAATATCAAAGTAGTTACAAATCATTTTTTTAAAGTATACTAATAGTAGATTAATGTTTGTTTTTGTTTTTGCGTGACATAGGTTAATCTTGTTGGAGGGTACTATGATGCTGGTGATAACGTGAAGTTTGGGTGGCCTATGTCATACTCAGTGAGCTTGTTGTGTTGGGCTGCTATTGAGTACAGACCAGAGATTGGTTCGGTTAACCATCTGGGTCATCTTCACACTGCCATCCGCTGGGGGACTGACTTCATTTTAAAAGCTCATACTTCTCCCACCACTTTCTACACCCAGGTATATATAGATATAGATATATATATATATATTTATTACATATGTTTCCAATTTGGATTTTGATATAATTATCTAAAATGGGCCACTAATATTCATGTTTTGTTTTTCTGGAAACATAATTTTTTGGACAGGTGGGAGATGCAAATGTTGATCATCAGTGTTGGGAAAGACCTGAAGACATGGACACGCCGCGATCGCTCTACAAGATAACTTCTACTTCACCAGGCAGCGAGCCAGCAGCCGAGGCTGCAGCTTCTCTTGCTGCAGCTTCCTTTGTTTTTAAACCTATTGATCCAACCTATTCATCCAGGCTATTGAGAAAGTCACAGTCTGTGAGTGCCACGCACAAGCTAATTTTTACTTCTTCTTTAACAAAATATGTAATTTGTCTAAAAGATACATATGTATATATATATCTACAGTTGTTCGAATTCGCAGACAAATACAGAGGATCTTATCAAGGTTCTTGCCCTTTCTACTGCTCTTTCTCAGGCTATCAGGTATAACTAATTAATGAAGCTATATATAGAGTTCTACAAACTGTTGTATTAGCTTCATGCTGACTTCATTTTTGATGCGTTGGAATTTGCTTATACTACCAATGATTTTAGAGGTATAAAAGTTTATTGTTAGGAAGTAGTTTAAATGTGTTGTATGAAGTGGGAGTGGTGTATGATGACTTTGTAGTTGTAGTTGTTGTGTACATGTTTTTTAGAATAAAGATTATATATAAATAGTAATAGTTCTCATCATTTATTCATGGCACAAATGATATCTTTACATGTATAAACATATAAATAGGACCAATCTAAAAAGTCTTTTTTTTCCTATAACTTTACACAACTTTTTAGATAGTTGTCTTTTTTTTATATATAAAATTCAGTTAACTTTTAAAATTTGTAATCATCTTATAGTATTTTCTTCTAACATCTTCTAGAATTTTCTAGAGAATTTTCAAAATTTTCTATATTCTTCTAGAATATTCTAGCTTAATTCAAAAGTCTCATTAATTTAACATGATGAAGGATGAACTGTTATGGGCTGCTGCTTGGTTATACAAGGCAAGTGGAAATGATGAGTATTTGAAGTATGCGGTGAGCAATCAAGGTTGGAGTCATGCAGTATCTGAGTTTAGTTGGGACAACAAATTTGCTGGAGCTCAAGCATTATGGACAAAGGCAAAATTAATTAACCTACAAATATTTTCTAATTTTTTTTATAAAATTTTGTACCTATAAGGAAGTAGATAATATTGTGGACAGGAGTTTTATGGGGGCAAGAAGGATCTGGGTAGATTCAAGGCAGACATGGAATCATTTATATGCGCCTTAATGCCTGGGAGTAGCTCTCAACAAATCAGAACAACTCCTGGTATACACACACACACATATATATAGTTTATAAGATCACAACAAACCCATTTGGATATGTATGTATATGCATATTGTTTTCAAGGCTGACTTTGATTCTGATTCTTGGTTTAATTTTCAGGTGGTCTTCTTTTTACCAGAGATAGTAGTAATTTACAATATGTCACAACATCTTCAATGCTGATGTTTATCTTCTCCAGAACATTAAATGAAGCTAATGTGGGTGCAATCCAATGCGGCTCCGTTAGTTTCTCTGAGTCTCAAATCAGAAACTTCGCCAAATCACAGGTCACAAAATTGAAATTCTCTCATGACCCATTATAGCCTAAATGATTTTTTCCCAACAGCATGTAACTCGAGGTAATATATTTGATCAGGTGGACTATATACTAGGAAACAACCCGATGAAGATGTCATACATGGTAGGGTTTGGAAGCAAATACCCAAAACAAGTACACCACAGGGGCGCCTCCATTCCATCAATACACAGCCACCCAGCCAAGGTTGGGTGCAACGATGGGTACAACAGCTACTTCTCTTCTCCCCAACCCAACCCTAATACACATGTTGGTGCAGTGGTGGGAGGACCTGATTCAAATGACCACTACAACGATGTCAGGTCTGATTACTCTCATGCCGAATCCACCACTTACATCAATGCTGCATTTGTGGCTTCCCTCGCTGCTTTGCTTCCCCACAATCAACAGGCTTTGACTTTCACTCACCTCAATTCTACTACTCAGCATTTCAATAACACTACTTACTAACAGTAGCCACGAGATCAAATGGTGTATAATTTGAAGCCTATACATATATATATATAGGTCATGAGAAACATAACTAGTAGTGAATTTGGTATGTAGCAGAATTTCATGGGTTTTAATAAATTAAAATGTTTAAAGAAATTTAATATAGCAGTGTAATGTGGCTGATAAAGTTCATTACAGGAGTAATATATAGTGTGCCTAAAATCGAACATGTAATATATGGAAAGTCCTGTTGCAAAAAAGAAAAAATGGCTGTCATTGTCGGTGACGATTAGTCCGTGACAAGTAGCCAATATTTCATCGATTATATCCAACTTGGTTTATGATATATACAATATATTTAGTAATTCTCGAGAATAAGAGATGATGTGATATATATATATATATGTATATATGAATCTTTGTGCTGCAATCTCTGACCAAAAGAAAAAAAAAAGAACAGTTCCAAGTTCGTCTTCATTAGTGTTTACGTAATTATGACGTACTGAGCTACCTTTGAACTTTATTTTCTTGACATACAATTCCATTTTTCTGTGGAAAAAAAGCAATTACTGGAAAAGAAAGAGAGTACTCTATACAAGTTACGACGGTAAAACCTAAGTACAAAAATGATAAGAACTTTTTTTAAATAAAAAAGGTAACTACTTCTCTCTACATATGCCGAGAAAAAGTTAACAGGGTGTGTGATTTTCATGCAACTCGTCATCTCCAACTTGCAGAATTAATAATCTGAGAAGCAGCCATCAAAAGAAAACTCCATGGCCATTCCATACAAATTTTCCAAGTTTGGAAACAATTCATCACTAAATATAATATCCGGCATAGAAATGTCAAGATCATGATCACAACCTTTAAAAACGGCAGGCTTTCGTTCCTCTTCCTGTTTGACTGCAACATATTGTAGTAAGCGATCATATTCAGTGGGTTTAGTTAAAGGTTTTGGTGGAGGAAGATGAAGATGGTCATGATCATGATCATGATCATGATCATGTGTTGGTGTAGCAGGAAATTTAGGTGTGGAGGACTTAACTCGGGTGGTTCCAGCTAGTGAGTTTCTTCTTGTTGGGTGTCCATGGCTGTGCTCTGCAGTGTAAGTTATGATAAATACTCCTGGATCTTCTCTGCTCCTTTCTACCTGTTTTCTTGCCAAGCATCCTTTTGAGCTGCTGCATCTGTAGTAGCTCCTGCTTAATATTGTTCCAAATGAATAAAATAAAACAAATTACAAGGCTAAGTCCACTTTAATCATAGATGAATATATGTATGTGTACTAAATGAAAATATTATCGCAACAAATTAGTCAAATAAGAAAGGAGTTTGGTTAAATTTAACCTTGGATAGGGAGAGCCTTTGATAGGTTTCTGTCCATATTTACGCCAAGCCCACTTATCCGATGTGAGATCATCTTCTGTTACCTGTTTCACCACCTTCTTCTGTTGAGTCTTCTTGCTGAGATTATATATGTAAAACATGAGACTCAATTAGAAAAATCTATCAAATTAAAATTTCAGGTTCAATCTACTAACCTCCTTTTAGCTTTGGGTTCATGAGCAGACCCAGATGGAAGAGGCTGCAGCAGCTTCTTCTTCTGCCCATTTTGTGGGTGTTTGAATTCTTCAGGAAGAGACATGGAAGTGGCAAAAATGGTTTGCGGAGAAAGAGGGTGCAACACAGGATAAAAAGGCTTGTAAAGTTGTCCTAGTTCATCTGAAGCTACTTCTCTTGATTCTTGAAAGATTTCGCTCGAGATCAGAAGGTCTTCAGGTTCATCCATACTTCTCAGTTCATGATGATCAAGACCAAAACAAGATGACGGTGGAACCTTGAAATCTCCACATGCCTCAAAATTGGTGCATCCAGCTCTTACGATTGCTTGCAAATCCCAGCCTTCCATGCAAACGTACTCACCCATGTTGATCAAGATCTGATGGTGTTTAATTCAGAAGTGAAGTTGACTTTGGAGAGGTAGTGTAAGGAGATAGACACTAGAGGAAGGTAAGGATTGGTTATATATATATATATATATATATATATATATATATATAATATCATAGAGGATTTTCAGATCTTTTTAATGAAACACAAGTCTTCAAATATTCATTTCCCACTTTTTGCAATATTGTTCGAGTTGACTTTTCAAAAAGTCAATGGATGCAAATTAAGCTTGAATTTATGCGCCCGGCGCAGCAAGTTTTTACTCGCTTAGTATTGTTCAATGTTGGACCAATCTTTAGCTACTTGCATATTTTAGGGTTTAAATTAATTCTAAATAAATTGCTTTTCATGAAAAAGTGTCACGCAATAAAGTTAATAAAATAACTTGGCAAAATTTTTATTTAATTCTAAATAAAACACATCATTTGTTCTTTACTATAACAAATATATTCAAGAACACATTAGTAATCATTTGAAAGTTAAATACTACCAATATAATAACTCACATTTCTCATGGAGGGTTATGAGTCATTTATCTTATATGGTTTTTTTTTTATATTTTTATTCAATGATTCTTGAGTATGGGGCATTATAAACCAGTAACAAAGTCATCTCATAATTAGTTTAGTTTTACATCTCATCTATTTTGTCATAAACTTATTAGTTTATTATGTTTTTTTTTTTATAAGCTCAGTCTCTAAATTTATGTACCAGGATAATTCTACAAGTTTAAAGAAATCAAATCTAAACAAAGTACAAAATAAATAATACAACTACGAAATATTTAAGTCCAACAAATTGATTTTCTTGTAATGATTTTGGATATGTATAATTTCATAAAAATAAATTCAATCAAAAATATCTAAGATGATTGAGAAATACAATACCCACTAATTTTTTTTTTTTTTTTACAAATTATTAAATTAGTTTTTCATGTTTCACGTTTATTATAATTTAATTCTTAATTTTTTAATTTGCAATATGAATCTCAATGTCCAATTTTTATTCTATTTTTAATAAAATAGTCAAATTATATTTGGATATATTAGTTAATTAATTAATTTAATCATTAATAATACATATTATTTTTATTAATTTTTTTAGTTTAATTAATTAGTAGGTGTTATTTTTAAAATTATTCCATTCAAGTATTCAACTATAATTTAATTATTTTAATATTTTTTATTAAAAAATTATATGTCTGAAATAAATAAAACTCAGTTGGTAATAAAGCATTAAGTATCAAAGACTAATTTAGAAATTTTAATATATATATATATATATATTTTATAATAAGATTGAGGAAAACTAGCTGGGGATAATCTTATCCTATAATTGGGACCGGAATGATTGAAGAGTGTTTGAGGAGTAGCGCGTTGTGTCCCTTTAAGCTAGTCTCTCTCCCATGCAGCTAGAGAGAATAGAGTCACCTTTTAAAGCCCATAATATCATCAAATATCCTCCCACTACTCCTTATATATATATATATATATATATATATATGATATTCATCTTCTCACTACAATACATTTCTTATTTGTGCTGCAAACCATCTATCCATGCCAAAACAAAAATTATCCCCCCGGTGCCATTCTCCCTTTAGCCTAGACTGTGAGGTAGGCCGAGCATGCGCATGAGGTCCATGCAAGACAGTGATTGCTCTCTTCTAATTTACGTAACAATGTATTAATTATTATTATATATATTTTATGACATATAATAATAATTAGTATTTATATTTATATGAGGTAGGAGTAGAAGTAGGGTTGGTTTGACTAAAGATTTGGAAAGCTGCTGGTGGGACGCGGAAGGAGAGTCGTTGGTGAATATCATTGTCCAACAAATTGTCATAAGATTACAAGAAACCGAGTTTTTTGTTTTCCTTTGAATTAGTAGTAGTCTTCCTTGTGATTTTATTTTCTTTCTTTTTTTTTTTCTTTTTTTCAAAATGTTACGCTGGATACACACTAATTTCTATATTTCTGTCTACTTAATATTATTCTCTCTCCCTCCCTCTCTCTCTATATATATATATATATATATTACTTTTAGAAAACTTTTGTAAATTAACCAATTTTATATCATAATCTTTTCCCAACATCAAAAATTCACAAAAAAAAAATATTTTTATTATTACTATTTTGCAAACTCATTCACAAAAATTACCAACCAAAGAGAAAATATCCAGAAGTGTTTAAGTATTCTAAGTACACATTTTCTCTAGGCATTTTTAGTAAATGAAATTTTGGTATCTAAAAAACATCTCTAGGTAGATTTTTTGAAAACTTGGACTTTTCTTTTTTTTTTTTTTTTTTGATGTTATGAATTTTTTTTTAAAAAAAATACTTTTAGATATTTTGAAGAGTTTAGAATTTTAAATATTCTAACATCTTTCTAAGTGTTTTATGTATGCAGAGCTAATATTTAAGGTAACTAATCATATTTATAGAATGTTTGAATGTATGTGTTCATACGTTTTTAGATATTCAACAATTT